CTCCGAGAAATCTGTGACTCACTTGGTCTGTCATCCCAACCCCAACCCGGAGGAGGAGGAGGCAGCAGGACAGGGGCGTCTGCACACACTCACACACACACACACACACACACACACACACACACACACACAGCGCCGCCCCCTGCTGCACACTGGCTATCGCGGTGCGTGCAGCCCAGCCTCCCACGCTCACCAGCCTGCTAGCTTGCCAGCTGGCTCGCTGACTCTCCGAAGTGGATCTTAAAAGGCAGTTTAGCCTCCTGGCCCCACGCGGGACCCTCCATCGGGAACCCGGTAGGAGATCCAGGGCGTGACAGCTGTGGAGAGTAGGTGGGGGGTGGTGGGCAGTAGGGCAGGTGGTGGCATGGGGAACTGGTATCCCCACTAGCATCTGGTGGGAGCTGCCCTGATGAGCTCTGCTATGTGGGTCAGTGGGGTTGTCTATAGAGTTGGGGTGCATGGACGGGGCATGTCCAGGAAGGGGGAGGGGCTCAAGGGGATGGAACCTCTCAGAGCCGCTAGTCAGCTGTGAGTTGTGGACACAGGCTCAGGGTGCGGAGCTGGGGTCTGCTGGCTGAGTTCTGAGATAACAGTCCCTTCTCCTTCAGCACAGACGGGGCAGGTGGCTCACCTGAGGTCACACAGCAAGTGGGGATGGAGAGCCGGGGTCCAGGCTTGGGGAGGAGTGTGTGCAGGGGGCTCTTGAAGGTGGCTTCACTTGCGGCTGCCATAGAGCTCATCCGGGACCCCAGAATGAGCCAGGGGCAGTCTGGTGCGCCTTCACACAGGCACTGGGCCCTCTTCGGGGGGCGATGGTCCCAGCAATGGGGTCTGAACGTGGGGGACCTGGACTCCGAGAATGTTAAGAGAACCTGGGGTGGGTAGATGGGGAAGTGGGCGCTGGGGGCTGGGGAGCTTCCTGCCCACAACCCACCAGACCTCAGGGCTCCCGTCTGCTTGGTGCTGATAGGACCGCCCCGCCCTGGTGCTACTGCAGCGCCCACCTTGTACCCCCCAGGGAGCTGGCAGTTCCAGTTTTTTCCTCACCCCAACCAGTCCCCTTCCTGTGGTGCCCACTCAGGATCTCCCAGGGCCCCGAGGGAGGGGACTGGCACTCATGTGACTGGGGGTTGGAGGGCAGGAGCAAAGGCAGGACTCCGGCACGCCCCTTGTCCCCCTCACTCTGCCTGAATCAAGCCGTCTCTGGCCTGGGGTAGGCGGGGGTGGGTAGGAATAGCCCTTGTGGCTCCAGAGGGCCAAGGAAGTGATTCATGTAAACATTGATTGAGCGCCTACTGTGTACCTAGTACTGTCCTAGGGATGGGGGCACGGTAGGGAGTGAGCCAGATAAGGTGGGGTAGATCCAGAACCAAGCCCTCAGCCCCCTCTCTGTGGGTACCTCGAGGGCAAAGGTAGTTCCTTGGGGCTGAGACTGAGGGTGGGAATCATCTCCTGACAGCGAGCCCCAACAGCTCTGAGTTAGCTCCCTGCCTGGTCTTTCCTGCCAATGTCCTGGGGTGGGATTAGCTCTTGGGGCCAGGCCTGATCCCCCTTTGCTTCAGGGGCCCAAGGGACCTGAGATCCAGACTCGCTATGGCCACTGTACCCCATGGTCCCCTTGCCTTGCTTCTTTCTGGGCCTCAGTTGCCCCGGCTGCTTAGTGGGTATTGGGGGGCGGTGCCCGTGGTCCCAGCCTTGGCTCTAGAGTGTCAGACGGCAGCTCCAGGAGTGGCCGGCCAGGGAGAGGCTGTGCTGGGCAGCCTGCGCCGATGCTGCTGGGCCCCTGGGGAGGGACGGTTAGCCTGCATGGACACTCCCATCTTGCCAGGGACACAAACAAGACAGGAGCTGCGGCTGGGGAGAGAGATCGCATGCTGGGAGAGGCGGAGAGGCCTGGGGGGCTCTGCCAACGATGTTCAGGGGGCTTAGAGAAGTGGGCAGGGGAGAGGGCTTTAGGTGCATGCATGAGGCTTGCACTACTGGGGGTGCATTCCTGACAGAGGACCCCGTGTGGGCAAAGGGTTGGGAATGTGAGAGCCAGGGGGGTGGGGAAGGCTATGGCAGTGGACACCTGGCCTGGGTCATTTTAAGGGGCCTGGAGGGCCAGACCAGCAGGTCCCAATCTGCTGTGCAGGGGGAGGGGTGGAGGAGGACTTGGCAGTCAGGACAAGCTGGATGGGGGCTGGGTCCCAGCTGCCCACCCAGGGTGCAGGTTCAAGGCACCTGCTGGGGGAGACAGTTCAGGGCTGTGGGCGCAGAGGGCGAGGTGGCCATCCAGCCCAGGGGAAGGGCAGGGGAAAGAGGTGGCAGGGCTGTGGGGGACAGCCTGGCCTTCCTGGCAGGACCCAGCATGACAAAGACAAGAGGACTGGGGGACAGCGACAGACATGGGCCAGGCATCCTCAGTGAGAGCTGCCTGGGGCTGGTGGGTGGTGGGTGCGTGGAGGGGGGCTGCTTCCATTTCAGAGATGCAGGTGAGCTTCCACCTGGCAGTGGAGGGTCAGGGACAGGCTGGTGGGGCCATGGGGGAAATGTGACAACACAGGTCCAAGCCCCTCCCTCAAACCAGAGCCTGAGCAGGCTCTGCATCCCCAACCCCAACTCTGGGTGGTCCTGTGACTCACAGCAGATGGGGACATCACGTGAGCAAACCAGGCAGCCGGGGCACCAGGACCCCGGGGACCAGGCAGATGGCAAGTGGGGGGCGAGATACGACTGGCACAAAGGGGCCTCTCCGAGACGGGGTGGGGCAGGCCTCTGGCTGGACCTCAATCTCCCCAGGCTTGCCCTGGGTCAGTGTGGCCTTCATGCACCATTGGGCATTCCCTGAGGCCCTCAGGAGCCCTGCAGTTTCTGAAATCAGACCTGGCTTGCCAGAGAGAGGGTCTGGGGGAGACTGGAACCCCATGTCTGCACCCACAATCCTCCAGGGAGCCAGACGCACAGCAGTAGTAAGGCTGTTTGCCCAGCGAGAACCCTGACTTTGTTTCTCCCTGGTTGTGTGAGCGTCTGCCTCAGTTTCCTTATCTGGAAAAAGTGGATAACAATAGCATCTGCTCCAGGGGCTGCTGTGTACCAGGAGTCATGTGGGCAAGAGGTGAGAACAGCGTCTGGCCCGTAAAAATGTTCACCTTCACCATGCCTTCCCCACTGGGTACACTCAGCTGGAGATGACTTGTGATGACTTGGGGGGACTTCCTCCTGCCTTCCATTCTGGGACAACTGGGGCCCCTTGGGTTCAGGCAGGCCCCCACCCACCCACCCCCGCAACCTGACTTGTGTTTTGGCAGGGAGACCAGTGGGCTCGCATCAGGCCCCTGGGTTGGCGCCGGCTCAGGCGGTTTGTGGTGCATTTGGCAGTTCCAGGCAGCAGAGATAAAAGCTGAGGCCTGGAAGAACTGGCAGAACTTCTGCCCGATGGCAACTCTGCATTAGAGGGAGCTGGTCTGGGAGTGGGGGTCTTGCTGTCTAGGAGCCAGCCCAGCACCACCCCCCTGAAACACCAGCCCTTCTGTAGCTAATGGCTCCATTGTGGCTCCCCAGGCTCAGGGCCACTTAGTCCAGCAGGAGAAACAGTGAGACCAGAGCCGTCTCTGCTGCCTCCCACGCCCTCCCTCCCGCCCCAGGCCTCTGCCTGCCTCTGCCCAGAAGTCCAGACCTTGTCTCTCTTGGACCCAAGGAGAAAGCACACATTTGGACCCCCAAGGATGCAGCCCCCCTGATCTCAGTGTCTTCATCTACCCGGGGAGACGACATTGACACCCCTGCCTGGAATTTGGAGCACTCAGTGCTGTAAAGCGTGTACTTTGCACCATGACAGACTTCTAGAGTGTTCCCTAACCTTAGCTAAGGTCTTGCTTCAGGGTCATGTGGAGCAGAATAAGGTTCAAATCCTTGAAGTGACCTCGAGCAAACTGTTTTATTTCTCTAAGTCTCGTTCCTTAGGCTGTAAAATGGGGGTGAAGAAACCTAAACCTCTAATATCTAGACATGACCCTGTGGGGATGGACTGAGGCAACCCACATCCTGTAGGTGCCCAGAAGTATTACCCCCCCCACAACCCCCCCAGCTGTCCTGGACCTTTGTTCCCCTATCACCCAGCTCAGCTGTCTCCCAGCTGAGATGGCACAAGCTGGGTAGCCCTGCGGCTGCCTGCGGCTGCTTCAACCACACCAGCTGTGCCAAGTTGGGCAGCTGTATTCACCTCTCTGGGCCTGGTTGTCCTCATTGTTAAAATGGGGGTGGTGCCGGCATCTTGAGAGAGTTAAGTGAGCCAGTAAATGGCAAGTGCCGAGTAAAGTGCCTGGCACAACGTAAGTGAGCATTGTCAGACCATGCCCTCCCCTTGGGGACCAGCAGTGAGCTTATCCTGGGGTGCTGGCCCTGTCCTCCCATGATATCACTGGGAAAGGCACCAGGACCTGTGGACACTCCCATCTAATGGGGTCCTGACTTGTTGGCCTGAGAAGTTGTCCAGAACCGGGGCTCCCTCCAGCTCCCTGAGACCAAAAGCCTGACTGACGGCCACGGTCCTGGGCCTGCAGGGGGGGCCTGGGTTTGTGCTGGTCTGGTGCCTGCACTATGTGGTCACTTCTCTGCTGGGCTGCATTCCCTTGGCCCGTGGGGGATTGGGTCACCTCTCTGGATCTCTGGCTGAGTCCGGCCCTAAGGGTGTGGCTCTGTGGCTAGTACCCTGGACCCTGACCCTGTGTGCAACTGCCCAGGCCCACCTGCCTCTATGGTAACAAATGTCAGGGGTGAACCCCAGTTGCTGGTTGGGGCAGCTGAGTCACACTGGGTCTGGCCCCCTCTGTCTGTTGCTGCTTGGGCTGTGTCACCAGCTGAGCTTGTGTACATCCCCCCAGGCTACTCATCACCCAGACCCCGCCCCTCAGTGGTAAGGGCTTCACTGCCCACAAAATGTCATTCAGCCCTGGCTGCTGCTGGTCCTCAGAGTTCACAGATGAAGAGACAGCTCGAAGGTCCCGGTAGAGGTAATCTCCTGTCTCTGAGCTGGGAGCTTTTCTGCTGGCCCCACAGGGGGTGTTCCCATTTGGGGTAGTGAGCTCCCCGTCCCTGGGGGCATTTAAGTTTGGGAAGTTGTAGAGGGAATTTGAGCATTGTGTGGTTCTTCACCACCTCTTCCAGCCTGGAGCTTTTCTGGCCTCGGGGGGTTGTGGGGAAAGGCACCCAGTTCCCTCATTCTGCCCGGGTATCAAGCCCCTAAGCATTGGTCCTTTTAGCCACGTCAGGCGAAGCTTGTGGGCCTCCTTCCAGAAACCCTCTCCGTAGCCCTACCTGTACCATGCAGAACTCCGGTGGAAGTCAGGCTTCCACAGAGGCCCCTCTGAGCCTGTGGTAGTCTCCTCGTGCTGGATGGGAGGTGCAGAGGGTGAGAGACTGGAAGGGCTCAGGACTGCAGTGGGAAGGAGGTGCTGATGACGAAGTTGGGATGGGGGACACCCACCTCCCCAGTCATCCGGAAGCTGATGCTGCTCCTTGCTCCCCCATCCAACCGCACCTGGGCAGGGGCGTTCCCCCTCATGCTCATCCTTCTCCCACACATGTGCACGGGGCACCACCTTTCGGGAGCTGTGGGCAGTGGGCAGATGAGAAGGAATCCTGTGGTTTCCTCCAAACTACGCGTATCCCAAGTCGCCAATGCCACGCCTGCTGCCACCTAAGCACACAGCCTGGACTGGATGGGTGGGACCTGCTGTCCAGCTCCTGATGCTCAGGTCCTGGTGCCTGGGCAGGGGTGCACCCCAGCTGGGGTGGGGCAGACAGCCAGTGCCCCCAGGGGGACCCTGCGGTGGATGTCAGCAAGCCTGCGAGTTCCTCCCCTGCTCTCCCACCTGTGTTTGGGGACCCAGAATTGGAAGTTGCAGAAACTGCTGTCTAGGGGTGGGGGTGTTTCCAGAGCCTGAGGGTATAGGGGGAGGGGCCTGCCCCTGTTCCTGTGTGAGGCCTTGGTCCCCTGGAGCAGCCTCCTGGACCTGCGTGTTCACCTCTTTGAAATGTGCTGCTTCCTCTGTGTCCCGGAGATGCCAGAGCCAGGGCTGGGTGCCACGTAGGAACGTGGCAGCCAGATAGGCAAAGGAGTGTGTGGAGCTGGGCTCAGGTCCAGTTTTGCCAGCTGTGTGACCCCAGGCCAGCAACTTCACCTCTCTGAGCCTCAGATTTCTCAGCTGTGAAATGGGCATCATAGTGCCTCCTCAGAGGGCATGGGGTGAGTTAGGGACATCAAGTATGCACCACGTGGCTCATGCTTTTACAGGTTCACTTCTCTGCCCCAGCACCCTTATGAGTCTGCAGGCTTGGGGTACACCTGCCCCCAGGTTTCAAGATGCCAGGATCCTTGCTGGCCATAGACACAAGCCATTTCCTCTCTCAGCTCCACCTCACAGAGCCTACGGGGACCTCAGATGCAAGCTTGGCATTTGTAGCAATAGGACATGACCTACCTTCGTTGGCAGATCCCCTCCCGGCCCTTCCTCCCTTAGCCCTGGGCTGCAGGAGCAGATCGCCAAGGGCCGTGAGGGTGGCAACTGCCTCATAGGCTTGGTGAGCCCAGACTCAGACAGGACCTCAGACATCCTCTCCTCCAGCGACTATGAAAGTGTCTGTGGTTTCAGAAAGTTTGGACCTCCTGGGCTTCTGGGCGGCAGGACTCCTCAGGGCCTTTACTGGGCTGGTGTTTAACCTCCCGTGCCTGCCCTCGGGAGTGTGTGCCCAGGAGCGTGGTGCCCCATCCGGGTCAGATTGCCTGTTGAGATGGCTGGGTGCCGAGTGCCTGCCGTCGAGGGTCACTTTGACATGGATAACAGAATCAGGAGCCAGCTCCTACTGGGCAGAGGCTGGGAACCTGACCTGGGCGTCCGTCCAGTTCTTCTCATTCAGTCACTTACTAAACTAGCGATGCCGGAGCTTCTGCTTGGGCCGGGCTGCTGGAGACATGAGTGGTGACCGAGACAGAGCAGGGTAACAAGCAAATCACAGGGGCCTTTCAGACGGTGCTAAGCGCTGTGTCCTTAGTAAGATCAGGCGGCTGGGAAGAGCGATGGGTGGCGTGAGGGTGACTCTGGTTAGGGGGAGGTCGTGGGAGAGAAGACATTGGAAATGTAGGCTGAGAAGGGAAAGAAGAAAAAACGAGCTGCGTTGAGGACCGAGCGCATGCAAAGGCCCTGAGGGGTGTCTGAGCGCAGCAAGAAGGGAGCCGGCTGGAGTTGGTGAGTGCCTGAAGGCGGGGTGGCGGAAGGTGAAGGGAGTAGAGTAGATCGGGGTCACCAGCTTGCTGTTTGGTGCTTCCCCTGGGCCTCAGGTGTCTGACTTACACAACGAGCCTCGCCGTGTTTAGTGTGTGCTGATCTGGTTTGTTGTGAGCAGCAAGGAGCCTCGAGCTGGTGCAGACCTTCACCTCTATGCGGTTTCTCTCTGTCTTTTATTTATTTTTTGGGTAAGGGAGACGGGTCACCTCAATGTAATCAGAATGACCTGGGTTGGGGTTGGGTTTTATTTTATTTCTTTATTTTCCCCACCACCGCCATCTCTGTATCCCCTCCTCGCTCCCTCCCCTCCATGCTGGAGGAAGTTTTATTGCAAGTGCTTAGACACCACCGGCGGGTCCCAGGAGTCCCGGCCTCTATTTCTCTGGGTCATGTACAGTCAGTGAGCCCCAAGCGTGTGCAAACATCAGGGTGCACATCCGTGCTCAGCGCTCACTCCCTGCCTCCCCCGAAAGGCAGCCCCGTGCCAGCTCCTTTGAGCGCAGGATCTTTTAATCCCACAGTGGCTGCCTTCTCTGACCCAGCGGGCCCTGCGCTCCTTTCCTGGCCAAGGCTCCACCGAGAACAGCAACTCCTTTCTTTGCTTTCTTTTCCTTTTCCTCCGGGGGCCAAAAATAGTGACTGAATGGGGCTCAGCTCTAGGCGGGCAGCGGGACAATAGCAGACTCCCCGTTGCAGCCGGCTCCTGGCATTGGCCCACCGGTGGGGGAGGAGGTGTGGGGTGCGTGGCACATTGTCCCCTTGGCCCCACGTCCCTGCTGCATTTCCCATGGCCTCTGCAGAAACCATCCCAAAGCCCCCCAGGCCCTTGGGAGTTTGACGGCCAGGAGGGTTCCCCTCCTCTGGAAGCACCCTGGGAAAGTGCTTCTGGCTGCTTGGCTGACATCCCAGCCCTTAGACTCCTGAGCAGCCCTGCCCTGTGCCTGCTCTGCTGCTGGTCTGCAGCTGCCACCCCATGTGGGGACCCCTGTACCTCGTTTTCTCTGGCACCCTGGCCAGCACACGGAGGCCACTCATGGCTTTGATGGTCTTTTCCCTTTGACTCAGTGACCACGAGGGACTTTTTAGAGGTCAAAAGGATGTGCTCCCTTCGGAAGAGGTGTGCTCCCTGTTGCTGGAGATGATCAAATTGAATGTTTGGGTGTGACCGCAGGGTTAGTCAAACATCCGACAGACACTCAGTCTTGATGTCTCAGAGCCCTTACCTCTCCCTTACCAGTGAGGTGACTTTGAGCCCGTCATATCATGTCCTTGAATCTCGGTTTCCTGATCTGTAAAAGGGGTGACAGAGCTAACCTGGCAGAGTGGAGGCATGGACCTCCAAAATACCCTAAGCCATAAGAGGAGTTCCAGAAGCTTTGCCTCTGTTCTCCCTCCCTGGACTGGTGCTTCCTCTGGGGCACAGAATGGAGGGGCTGAGTCACTCTGGGCTGCCAGGGAGCTCTGAAGAATACCACACCCCAAGGCCTGGGGGGGGGGTAGTGGCAATCTGGGGAGGGGCCACGTTCCCTGGAGGAGGTGGCCCCTAGGCCACTTGCAGGGAGGTCTGGTGCACACTCTATGCTCGTAGCAGTCGATGGTGGAAGTTGGAGGGTGTCCAGCCTGAGCAGAGGCCAAAGTCAGTCTGCCAGCCTCTAAGGGCAGCTGACAAGAGGCATTTTTGGTCAAGGGGTGACTCCCACTGGTTTCTAAAAAGCTTTTGCTTTAAAATCAAACTTAATAGAGTTCATGTGAAAATCTGTTGTTGAGCTTATCCTGAGAAATTGGGAGCTCTGGCTCCCTGCGGTCCCCTCTAGACAGACAGATGTGCTCAATATTCTCCATAAACGTCCGTCCTAAACTCCTACCTCCCTCTTGCCTGTTCCCCGTCTGGCCTGGCCAGCATCTGAGTTTGGGGCACTTGGGTGCCCCTCAAGTTAGGGGGCCTCACTGTGTTGAATTGAGCTGGCAGTGACGTAGTAGTCCCCACAGCTGCCAACGGTTGCCAGGGAAACGGTTGCCAGGGGCTGCTGTCACCTGCGCCCCTCTCCCTGGTTGGCGGGCTGGCTGGCTCCCTGGTTGCAGCCTATCTCCCCAGGCTGCCCCCTTTGTTTGAGGCTCCGTGAGGACAAGGAGGTGCAGGTGGGTCTGGCTAAGCATCTCGGCCCCCTCTAGCCTCTTGAACTGGGAAGTAACTGACCTACCACCCCAGCCACCCGCTGCAGCAGACAAAGCAAGCGCTTCGCTCCCTCACTCGCACGGATGTCTTTCTAGTTTGCTTGACGCCCAGGAGGAGGATCCAGGTAAGAGTCTCCCCTACATTTCCTTTCTCCAGTCTCCCATTCTCGCTGCTGGCCCTGCTCCCTCTCCTCCTGCCCCCGCCCCCCACCATTTCCCAAGCCCTCTCCTTCCCCTTCTCCCCTCCTCCTACCACCCCTGCTCTGTCCTTTCTCTCCCCTCCTCTTGCTCCTCTCCTGCCTTCTCTTCCCTCCCGCCTGCTCCTTCCTTCTCACTCCCCTTCTCTCTGCCTCTCCAGCCTTTGCTTCCCCTCGGGAGCCCCTTCTCCCCAGCACCCACAGCTTAGCTGAGGGCCGGGTCGAGGTGGGGCTGGGGTGGCACGCAGGACCCTGGGGGAATCATAGGTAACAATCAAAGGGCAATGGATCGATGGATCAGTTGGACAGACAGCAGCCTCAGGAGTGATGAGGAAGCGGTTAGGGGCGAGGACCTCACACCCCACATCCCACACCCCTCCCCTTCTTCACACTCCAACAAAAAATAACTTTCAGTGCTCGGCCTGGGCCCTACACCTCGTGGCTGAGGAGGCCTGGGAGGAGGCATCCTGGGCTCCAGGTGGGTGGAAGTGCCTGGGTGCACAGCACTGGAGCTGGCACAGGCTGCCTGGCAGTGCCAACAATTCCCAGGAGGACTGGTGCTTCCGCGCTGCCCAGGCCCCCAGCCTTATGGGGGAGTAGGCCTGGCTATCCTGTCCACCCCTCAGCCAGGGATCTGGGACCTGAAGGAGGAGGGAGAGAAAGAAGGGGGCGTTGTGACTGACCTTGGGAATGCTAAGGGTCCTGCATCCAGAGACAGGCCCTCTGCCAGACCCAAGATAGCCAAACTGCAATCTCCTGGGAACCAGCAGGGAGGTAACTGGCTGACCTTGCAGGCCTGGCCTTGGGCAGTGTGGGAGCACGGATGGGGGAGGGGGACTTCAGCCAGGCAGCTGACGTCTGCCTGTGGTCTGAGGGGCGAGCCTGACAGCCCATTACCCTCTTTGGCCATTGCTGCCAGCCGGGAGTTAAGCCCCACCCTTACCTTTGGCATGCTGAGGCCTGCTCTGCTTGGATGAGGCCTGGAGGGCCCTGGGCTACAGAGAAAGTAGGGGCCAGGGATAGGGACCACAGTCTCCTATTCAACAGGAAGAAACTGGGGCCTGGAGACAGGCGGCTGGCCCCAAGGTCCCAGGGCCAGTCAGCTACAGAGCTAGTTCCAGAACATGTGTCTGACTCCTGCCACCTTGCTCAGGGATCCACAATCCCTGTGCAGGTATGGATGGGAGGTGCCTGGGGTCCTCAAGTCCAGCCTCAGTGGCTCCTCAGAGACAGGGTGACTTGGCCGTGAGCTGCAGGTAGTCCCGGGTCTGGCACCAGAGTGCCCGGGCTGCTTGTGAGAGTTGGGTCTGGGCCACATCTGGTACTCCTAACCGCTTCTGCTCCCTTAGGTTCTAGAACTCTTCAATCTACCCTAAACTTCAAAAAGGCTTTGATTCTCAGCTCCTAAAATCTTTTGTGTCTTCACATTCTCATTTTCTCTCCCTCTTTCTCTCTACCCCCAAACCCTCCGCACCCCCTCCCTCTCAATTCCAGCACCCTAAGTGTCTCGGCTGCTTGAGGTGAGGCTGAGGACCCTGCTGGCTATGCTGGCGTTAATGGAATGGCCAACCTGGGGACGGGGCTGGCAGTGCCCCTTTCCCCAAGAGTGGGATTTACCCCAGGCTCCCCGGAGACCTCTCGGCCTGGAAGTGTCAGGGATGAGGATGGGCTTCCCTGGGGAGTGTCTTGAATGGCTTCTGCGGCCATTTTAGCCTCGATAATGGCCTGAGGGACAACTCAAAGGGGAAAGGAGGGGGGCGAGGCTGACTGGGGGGATCCTGATCTCAGGCTTCTATCCACATGGTGTCAAGATTTCTGAGAGCTTGCTTTTCATGTTGATAACAGGTGTCCATATTTTTTTTTTTTTAAAAAAAGGTGCACCATCACTCTGGGCTGGGAAACCAAGCCCAAGCAAACCCTGCCACTTCTTCCCTGCAGGACTTATCAGAGCCTTTAGTTTGCAAATGACCAAGAAGGGCCTCTCACTTGGGCACTAGCGTTTCTTAGAAAGTGCCTTGGGAAGTGATATACCGCATGGTAGAGAGCGGGAGACAGACAGTCCAGGGGAAGAGAAAGGATTCAAAACATCGCAACAGCTAAAGGCCTGGACTTGAACTTGGGTGGACTGGGGCTGGGGTCCTGGTGAGGTGACTTACTGGTTGTGTGATCTTAGTTATCACGTAACCTCTTTTTTTTTTTTTAAAGATTTATTTGTTTGTTTGTTTATTTATTTATTTATTTATTTATACATGCACTGGGTACAGTCAGAAGCATGGGAGGGTGAGAGAATTCTCCAGAGCCAGAGCGGGGAACAGAACAGGCAGACTGACGAAATACACTACAGAGGGGAGCAGTGGGCACGGCAGGAGAGGTCTGCGCGCCATGTGGGACGCTCGCTGGCGGCCGGGGATCGAACCGGCGCTGCAGAGACTGCGGGCAGCTTCGCAATCCAGCGCTCAACCGCTGCGTCACCGGGAGGCCCTATCATGTAACCTCTTTGGACTTCAGTTTCCTTCTCTTTAGAATGGGGATAATAACAGCATTTGCCCCAGTCTTATGGTGAGGAGGGAATATAATTTGTGGCAAATC